GAAAGAAAAAGACCAGTAAATAAGGGAAAAAGTACCTGAGGAGACAACACACCGTAGATGCGCAGCAGGGGAAGCAAAACATATGTAAGCCGTTCATGAAAACTGCCCTACTTCAAACACAGAACTAAGTCCTCGATGTGGTTGACATAAAGTGGTTTTAGCTTCCAGAAACAGATACCTTCTGAAAACAGCCCTGATTGTGAGCACATCTATGTTTCCATTACAGGACACGTGATCTTTTCCAGCTTGTAAAACAAAACCCAGTGCAGAAGTTCAGACCCGATTTTCATTTCACTAAGGACAACAGAAGCCCTTCAAGGCAAAAGGGTTCAGCTAACAACACTTGTAGCTGACATTTCATTAATGTAGAGACTAAGCTACTGTCTAAAGTAAAAATGGCAACACTTCCCCTTTCCTTAATCTTAACACAAACCACCAAAGAACTTACAACTGCCAAATGGTGGATTTCTTCTTCTCCTGGACAGACGGGTGCTCACGAGAAGCTCTGAGGACAAACACAGAAAAAGCGAATTATTTTCAGCATCTCTCACCCAAGTTTCTGCCAAACAGCAGCCCATTTCCATCAAGGAAGCCATGTCAAAATTCAGAATTCATTCTAACATGTTTCAAAACACAACAGAGGAAGTCTCTAATGTAAGCACACTCCTTGTATTTCAGTGTTGACATGAAGTGCAAGCAGCTCTTCAATCTTAAGTTGTATCAACTCCCTGCAACATTATCAGTACTGCCACAGTACTAGTCTCGTAACTACAGACTCCAGCATTATATCAACTTCAGGCCATAGCATTTAGAATTCATTAATCAGAACCAACCCTCTTCCCTACAGCTTCTCTTAGCTTAAATAGCACAGAAGAAACAAGCAAGACAAATGACTGCTCAGTGTCTCCAAATAACAATGGCAACTTGAGATTTGCAGCCTGGGGTACAGAATGAGAGAAAGGATTAGGCACTATGAGAGAAGCTTCTACACTTTGGGAAAACCTTTAGCACTTTACAATCTGTATCTTGGTAGGGGTTCCGTCGAGCACAAGATCAAACATGACCAGGTTCTGTCCTAAATAGGCATGTTCACCAACACAGTATCCCACCTGATCATCTCTGTCCACCTGACAGCCTCCTGGAGCTCCATCAGCCTCTCCTTGTACTGATTGCGCTCCATCAGCACGCGGGCCATTTCCACGCGCGTGAAGCGGCGGCGCTGAGCGATGGGAATGTTGTCCTGCAGAGGGGAGGAGCACTGCTTCAGCCAACAAAAGATTGAAGGGGACTGATGTTAGTACAGGGCAAGTCATGAGACAGATATATTTGTTAGTTCTCCTCCTGTTCTGTTTATTACCCTCTGGTTTCCCCACACGAGGTGTTAATTTTAGACAAGTGAACTCCAAACTGTTGCCCATGGAACTCTGGGATGTGCTACAAACCCAGGAAAATTAGAACTAGAACTACAACCAAACTGAAAACCCCACCCAGAGACTATTGCCATTAAGGTGCTCTGATAGTCTACAAGGTATTATGAGAACTGACAGTAGTTTGTTGATCCATAAGTTTGGAAATCGAAGTTTTAGTTCATTAGTAAATCCAGTCACAAGCAGCAGGGAGCACCATGTAATGCCACTGATCCCCCCAAGACGACGTGGAAGGAGACTTTCTGTTAGTACACACTGATAAAAGCAAAAGGCACAAGAAACTAAAGAAAGGTCTGTTCCTCTCTGGTGACACAGGTTGGGCATCCAATGAGGGCACACGTGGCTTTGGGCTAGGAGGCAATAAGAATGAGGTTCTGATAAGTCTCTTTTGAGGAATGGAAGATGAGAACAACATGGCTAAGTCAGGGAAAATATCTGTCCAAAAGAAACTGAGTATTTTAGGAACTCATTACTATGAAGTGTCATGGGGTTGTGCCTAGACTGTGGCAATTCCCAAACTCTAACTGGCTGGTGAGTACTGCTGAAACCAAGTTCCTCTCCAGCCTCCCCGAACTTGGAATAAACCTGTATCACCAGTCAAAACAAGAAGTGTATAAATGAAAATTACCAACATTTTTTTTTTTTAAGTTTTAAAAAAACAGACCACCTCTCAGTTCAGCATAAAAGACATCCGGTCCTCTTCAGCATTTCACAAGCACAACCTGAAAGTTTACCTATCTACCCAAATTCTGAACAGACCAAGTTCACTCAAGTTAAGCCAAAAAAATGAGGCTAGAACTGAATATGCTCTAATACCTTTTACAAAGGAAGAATACAGTAATATTGAAAAGAAGTGTATCTAATTCCCTGTCCCACCAGAGTAACATTTACAAGGAATATCTGTTACCACTTCAGTTTGCCTTTTTTTTTTTTTTGGCTCCAGTTGGTCTTTGTTGAACAGCCAAAATAGTCTGAAGAGCTGTCATAGAACAGTCCATGAGCCTACTCTGCCTGTACAGGCAGTGCTGGCTTATATAAAGAAAATAATGAGAAAAACAGTGTCACAAGATGGAGATAACTGAATGAATAAAAGAAGGCAGTTAGTGCCGCAAAGCTGTCTGTATAACCTAGATTTCACTGCCATGTCCTCATGGTTTACAGCTTCACTGCCAACATAGAGAAAAGCTCTTCTGGAGAAGCCTGACTACCACAGGACCCCAAGAGAAACCACACTGGCGCTAGGCAGGGCACAGCTCCAGCAGTGTTCTGCAGAAACAACGCTGTGCAAGGTATTGTCACTGTGTCAGCTGCTCATCTTTGCCAAACTATGATTTAGAAGTCATATGAAGAGGTAATCTCATGGCATCTGTCTATTAGCAATGCTCACCAGCAACAACCCACAGTTCACCAGCTTTGCCCTCATCATTAATGAAGGCAGATCAGTCTACATCTCAGGACTCATGAAGTGATACAGAACAAGTATGTAAACCCCCTTTCCCCGCAGGCATTTTAGTAATGTAATATACCAATTCTGTACAGAGATAGCTGCTTACATCCTCCACCTCCTCTTTGGGTTCTCGTCGGGCAACAATCGCTTCAGATTTCACTCTAGGAAACAGGAAGAAAGGGATCAAACCAGCAAGCGATATACCATGGCTGGCTCTGAGGTTTTTTGGGAGGAGAACCATCTATGGGAAGGTATGTCTGCATGCAACACACAGAAAAGTTTTCACACTGCAAGTTAAGTGGACAAATTACAAGATACTTCTCTGACATTTCTCCCTCGCTCTTGCGGCACGTTACTCTGAACAGCTTCACCGATATCACCCCGTTTCTTTGGAACACTTGATGTAAGCACCAAAATACCTACTACTCAGTCAATTTCTATTTCAGAGCCACACTCAAACGTTTGATGAGATCTTAACCATGGAAAACCAAACTGTAGCAGCAGTGAAAACGTTGGCTTAAATTCTTCCTCCAGGCTGCTTCTGTTTTCAATTTAGTGGAAAATGCCGCTACATGGGAAGGACTATCTGCCATAATGGTAAAGAAGAGAACACCAAATCCATGCTAATAAAATACTTAAAGCATTTATCTGAGTGGTTTATCTGAGTGCAGTTGTTCAGTCCTATTTGAAATACTAGCGCTTTCATTAACAGCAAAGACACTGCAGAAAAATAAATGCTGTCTGTGTCTCCTAAAAAGGCAGTTAAAAGTCCATGTCCCTACTCTACAATATATTATATATTCTCTGTATATTATGAGAGACTCAAAAAGGCATTAAAAAAAAAATCAGACCTATTTTCCACTGCTTGTGAGACTATTTTCATTTCAGACGCTTTGGACAATGAAGAGAGCAGTCTGTGTTATTCTTGGTGGTTCTATGCTCAGATTACAGAGGCAACCTTCCAGATCCCAGCTGCAGAAGAAACACTGTCCTCTGAATTGAGATGATGCAGGGCAATGTACAGACAATCACAATGTAATTATGTTGCTCTGAGCCCCATGAGGCATCTTTAGTTTTATGGATGTGAAATCATCACAGGCTTTGCTAGGCCTTCAGGATTAATTTTCTCTAGTCTGACTGGAAATGAAGAGGTTAGATCTCTCCAAATGATACTTGCATAGGACTTGAAAATCTCTTCTGCCTTTTCTTCTCATTCTTAACATGAACGATGAAACACCTAACAATACTGGCATTTAAATATTGTTTGTGGGAATCTGCATTAGCTCTTTCATTAAATTAATGGGTATTTATCCCTCTCAGAGCTGTCTTACCTGCTGCAAGGATCAAGCTCTCTAGAGTTTCCTACAAAACTATTTGTTTTGAAATTCCCTTTTTTTTATATATTTATTTTAAATTGCAAATTGAAACTCTGAACTCCTCGCTTCAGGGAGCCTGGATTTGCAGTTGCTGCTGCAGAATCCTAATCCTGGGGAGGAAAATTCTGCAGGTTTTCTAACATTCAGTAATCCATTTCAGCCCAATAAAAACAACGTAACACTAAAAATATCTCAGCCACATACCATCAGCCTTGAAGTGCTCTGTAAGTCTCCTTTGAATTCCAATGTTAAACTCCATGAGAGAAACAGAGTAAAACTAACAGAGGAGGTACATTTGTCAGTCATGTCCTTCCAGCTCCCTTCAGCAGGGTCTCAATCACTCACCTCTTCAGCTCTTCCTCCAGTTCCTTGACTCTGTTTTCCATTTTGGCTTTGGTCTGCTTTGTTGCTTCAAGTTCTCCCTTCAGGACTTCTTGTTCTCCAGACAGCTGGTCCACCTTGGCAATCAAATCATTCTTCACAACGTTCAAGGCATTTCTTAAAGGTGTGAAAGGGACAATAAGAACAAATCCCCAAAACCAGCAGCTGTCCATAAGAGAGACTTGAAACTAAAGTCACAGACACTACAAGGAGAGTTGAAACGAATGTATTTTAACAATTCAGTCCAGCTATAACTCATGGAAAAGTAGGTTTTGGTAAGAAGGAGTTGCAGAAGAACACAGAAATCTCTGTAACTGGATGAGGTTTGTCCAGTCCTGTATCCCAAGTGGCAGACCAACACCTCCATAAGAAGATGGCAGAATACTACAGAAAGCAGGTGTAGGGTAACCTACCACCTGCATAAGGTTCAAATCTATTTTTAGCAGAATGAGGATCCGAAACATGCCTTTCAGAACTGCTGTTATCTATAATTGGGGATAATTGTAGATGATGGTGATATAAATAAGCATTTGCAATCAGCTCTGAAATATCTTACAATCTTTAAATCAGAGCTTCCTATCATAGTAAGTTTTCCAACTCTCCTCTGGGAGTACTCTGCCTTCCTCTTCCTGGCTGCTTAGCTTTAATGTCTCGTTTGGCAGCCAGTCTCAAAAATTAAGTCCACTGCATTGTCTGCTTTTGCTTCTCCTTTATCAACTATTAGATCTTTAAAAATTCTTCTCAATAGTAAGAAAATTTTCTTTTCAAATAGCAAGTCTTGCAAATAAAAACTTACAAACAGCAATATCCTCCAACAGAAGCTCAGACCCACATAGATTCCCACTGAAGTTAATTAAAAGCTTGACATTAATTTCAGTTGGGGTCAAGCCCTAGCAGCGCATGCCCAGAGACTTCACCCAAGTGCCTACAGAAAGGAAACAGCTAGGAGAGTTGCTCAGAAGAGCAATTCCTCTTCTTACAACTGATGGAACAACAAGTATTCAAGAGAACCTGTTAGATAAACGAGCAAGCCACTGTGAAGCAGGAGTTCTGGCCAAGACCTGCTTCAAGATGACATCTCATTTCTAACTACACCGGCAGTTCAGAGCACACAACAGTTCCTTACTTGGTCTCCAGCAGCTGCGAGTTCTCCAACAGCAGATTCCCCACTTCTTTGCCCATTCCTGAAAAGAAAGGCCAGGCAGTTTTCACCTTCTTTCCTAGAAATATAATGCTTGTGTGGCACTACCTGACTCATGCTTGAGGAACAGAAAGCACTGTTGGTAGGCTTCTCTAGGCCCCTGTGTCCTGCTCTGGAGAGTGGATTGCTTCTTATTGAAAGACCACGCAGCACAAGCAAAGACACCCATGTGTCCTTCTGTAAAGAGCCCAAATTCAGACCTAGCTTCTTGCCCCAGCTTTCACAGGCTCCCTTCAAAGGGATGGAGAGAACTTCACTCATGCCAACAAGAGGAAGTCAGGACAGTTTAGCCATGTGCTACTGCAACCATTTTTTTAATCATCACTCATAAAGAAAGAAGGTAGAAGTTGATGGGTTTTTCACAGAGGACAGCAGAACACTGTCCAAATTGCTGGCCAGATCTGCACATCAGTGATTTTCTTTCTTTCTTTCTTAGTATAAGCCAAATTTTCTGTTTCTCAGAACAGATTTGGGTTCACTGTTGTATGCACATGAAAGGCACATGAAAGGCTTCCAACAAAACACCTTCCACTAGAGCAACTTTAATAGGAGGACTTTAGACTGTCTGTTGCTCTATCTGCCATTAACAGTTTTCTCAAAGATGTTTAACATCTGAAGTCTCAGTCCCATCACGTAAGACCCCCACTGAGGAAAACATCTACACCAGACACACTGCACTTGTACTTGAGCATCAATGTACGACAACTGCAATATGCAGACGGGGTTGCAAGCACTTTGAAAAGTCTGGTGCTAACAGTGAACGTTGAATTCAGTATTTCATAAAACCAAACAGAAATTAATTTAGGGATCAAAAGCACATCTGGATTGTTTCCTGCTGCCAGGGATCTGCTGGCTCCCAGGGTCAGCCTCTGACTTACAGTGGGGACTAGAGGCCACCTGAGAACTAACGGCAAAGAGGCCTCTCCCTGTCAGGGGACAGTGCTGAGGGCTGGAGCTCATTTCTCACCACAGGTTCCAGAGCATGAAGAAGTCTCACAACCATCAATGTTTGTGCTGACGTGATCCTTGTCCTGCTCTCTGAACTACCTCTTCCTTTATAGCAAAGACATCAACAGTTTTCATGATCCGTTACTTGCTGATTAATTAATATTTGCAATAAAATAAAACTTGAAGTAAATGGAAGTCAGAGAAACATGATAGCATACAGGAAGTGAGAACACATCGCAACACTCCAACATACAGATCCTCTTCCCACAGTTAAATGAGATGAAGTTATGATGGCAAAAGCAAACACTCAGCAAGAATGAGAAAGAAGCAGCATTTTCAAATAACTTATGAAAAATTAGTAGACAGATAATTAATCACTTTGATGTTTCAGGCAATGTGTTCTTTGGATACTGTGTCAAAGAATACTGCAAACAGCAAAAAAAGTAACTGACTGCAGTATAAACTGAAGTGCATTTCTGGTTTGGTAAGGTGAATGACCTACAGCCCTTTCTTTTGTGGCATGCCATATATTCATTGAAGACTGAGTCCTCTGTTTATTCAATTATTCTCTCGTTCCTTTTTACTGATTCTATAAATGATCAAATAAATATTTAGCCAGTAAGACATTAAAATGGCACAAGGGTGTTAGAGGTGCTGAGGGACATTAAAAAAAGTTAATTCCCATTCTTTTCAGACTAGACATTTTCCTTCCCATTCTTGAGTCATCTATCGCCCTCTGCAGCTGTTTTTGGGGAGAGAAAGGAACTCTGGTGAAGAGGGTGAGCAATCATGCCAGAACTAAAAGCCATACAGCATTTTAACTGTCAGTACCCTCACCACAGCCTCCACTTTATTTGTGTGTAACATAGTGACAGCCCAGAGACATCTGAAGGGCTAATCTTGCAACAAAAAAAAGCAGATGAAGCCTCCCAGAGCCATAGAATGTACACTTTGAGATAACTTTACACAGGCTGTAATGGCAAGGAAAAAAAAAAACAAAACACAGAACAAAAACATTTTGGAGCAACAAAAAGGAGATCCCTTCACCCCTTTGTGGAATGGAGCAAAGGGAAGAGAGGTTTGGACAGAGCACTGTCTAACAGAGCTCATCCTCCACTGTTCACCTCCTATAGCCAGGCAAATAGTGTGAAGCATCAAAGTGGATAATCAGCCACAAGAAACAGGAGAGAATCCCCAAACCACTGCTATTGACCAGCTGCGTCCTGCTTCTTGGAGAGGTGATACCACCATCACAAAAACACAAACCAAGGTAATGCAAGACATGGAGGGATGTGGAGTGAATGGAAGAAATTTAGAAAAAAATGCACATTAAAAATGAAAGAAAAAAAAGAAAAAAAGGAAAAAAGGCCTTCGCCTTACCAAAGAAATCATCCCGTACTATGAGAGCCATCCCATACGAGAAAGGGAACAGAAAGAGATGGGGACAAAGGGGAAGAAAGGAAGAGAAAAAAAAGCAGCCATTAAGTACCAGTCTGTAAGTAGCAAACAGAGCAGCTCATCAGCATGTGCACATCTCTGTGTGGTACCAGGGCATGTGTTGCTCAGTGGTAACTGATCTACACCTTGTTCTGCTGCAGCCTGGCCTAACAGGGATTTACACCAGAGATATCACGATGAGCTCGAGACGAGCTCATCTGCTTCTTCCATCTTCATCATTTCCCCTGACTACACATCTTTGGGTTTCTCACCCCCACAACAAAGGTAGTTCAACAGACATTATGAACAGGGTGAGGGAAGGACAGGGGCAGGAAGAAGAACAGAAGGGGGTTGGATATCAAAGTTCTCATCTGGCTTTTTTGCACAGGCCCAAATCTACCTCCGCACTGCGACAAACTCCCACACAACTTCTGTGGGATTTTTTCTGAGAAATGACCACAAAGTGATTTACAGTAAAACCAGTTTGAACTAAAAGAAAGGCTGATGCTATGCCTTTCTTTTGTAACCTTGGAGACCCAACACCAACAGGTGCCAGGCAAAGAAGAAAACAACAAACCCGTGAGAGAGCTCACCACCACACAGCACTGCACTATGGTGTCTGCGTAAGCCGCCTCCCTTTACTACAGGGAAATCTTCATCCAGTTTGCACTGGAATCAAGAGAGATCCCCTTGACTTCATCTGAAATTGCGTCGGGGCCCACGCGCATTTCATGGAAAGGTGTAAACCCTGTGCCAGCAGAGTGTGGCTCTAAGGCAGCAAGTCTCCTCCACCAAACGACAGGGCTGTCGCTTCAATTCCAGACAGCAGGGCCAACCCCAGAGCCTCTGTCACCCTCCCCAGAAAGCGTCTTTAACATCGCTACAGCTATTTCAGCAGAGGGCCAGTAGGCACCAACCAGCCCACAGCAGCCATCATGACGTGGAGGGACTCCTCACAGCGTGGCTCACTGAGAGGACAGTGGGAACCTAATTCAGTCCTGTGTGCCCATCCCAGCTCTGCTCCAAGCACAGCACCCATCCTGACAGAAAAATCCAAAACACTCTGAGCCCCAAGAACCTGAGTGACGGGCCAGTGTAACGCAGTGCAGCAAACCTGCATAAAGCCACACAAGAAAAGCTTATTCAAACGCAGCAGGCGTGTGAGCAGGGTGGGAGTCCTGCTGCCCAGGGACCCCCCGTAGCAAGGCAACCAAGCGAGGCGAAGGTAGGAGAAGTCAGCGAAGCCAACCGTGTTTGGACAAGAGCAGGGGAGTATCACACGTGTATACCACGTCATTCGACCTCAACAGGGAAAAAAGAAACAAGAAAGGAAACTGAGCAGAGGAGATACACACCTGAGAACTCCCCTATGGGCCATGTCCAGCGAAGCACAGAGAGACAAGGGAAAAAAAGGAAGTGAAAAGGATCAATCAGTGACTAAAACCAACAAAATAAAAATTTTGTTCAAAAAAAATTAACAATGATTCAGCCATTTCAATGTCAAAAGGCATGAAATAGTAAGGACAGGACCTGCCATGACTGTAGATGGCATGACTCTACATACAGGACATAAAAAAAAAAAATCAAGGGAAGGTAACTAGTGGTACAAGTGCAACCACATGCCTCAGCTACCTCCAGTCTTCTAGACATGAATCTCAGGCAATCACATCCTTCTGGACTGGATAAACCTTTCTTTATTTTCTCTTTATTTAGTCATGTACCACTAACTGCAGAACAGCTACTTCCTGCTACCTTCTCTTTCCCCTCCCCGTGTGATTTTAGCAACTAGATCTTCTGATAATAAATGTGCTCTTCAGTTATACTTCAGCTTGCAAAAGACAATTAGCTGCATCTAAAAACTTCATTTCTTTTCAGTGCAGTGCTGGGATTCAGTTTGATAATCTCACTTCAACCTCTGTACAAAAAAAAAAAAAACACAGAAATTTACCACAAATATAGCTAAATTTCTGTCTTCACCACACAACCCATTATTTAAAGGCAGGTTTTAATCTCCAAAGCAAACATCATTGGGCATCCTAAAAGAGAAAGGAAGGACCTGCCCATAGTGCACAAACTGCTAGTGCTCCTCTGCATACAGAAACTCTTGGGATAGGCAAGAACAGGAAGGGTGAGAGATGGGAGGATGGGGAGTCTACCCCCAAAGAGGCAAGAATCTGCAATTAGCAAGTGAATACACCGGCAAACAGCCAACTAGTGTTTCCAAGGCTGTAGTGAAGAGCATTCAGTCTACCATTATAGAATCATAGCATGGTTTGGAAGGGACCTTAAAGACCATCTTGTTCCAATCACTTGCCCCTAGGCACCTCCAACTAGACAATGTTGTACAAGGCTCGTGGAACTTGGTCGTGAACACATCCACAACTTCCCTTTACCGTCGCATCCTATCACTACACACCTTTGTAAAAAGTCCTTCTCCAGCTTTCCTGTAGGCCCCCTTTACTGAAAGGCCACCAGAAGGTGTCCCTGGAGCCTCCTCCTCTCCAGGCTGAATGACAGATCTCTCAGCCTGTCCTTGTAGTAGAGGTGTTCCAGACCTCTGATCATCTTCTTGGCTCACCTCTGGGCCTGCTCCAACAGGTCATTGTCCTTTCTCTGTTGGGGGCTCCAGAGCTGAAAGCAGTACTCCAGGTGGGGTCTCACATGAGCAGAGCAGAGGGGGAGAATCACCCCTTGGTACAGCCCAGCACACATCGGGGCTTTCTGGGCTGCACACACACATTGTTGGCTCATGTTCAGCTTTTCACAGCCAGCACAATTATCGCTAGTAAATAATTGTTCTCACTCCACAGTTTTATCCAGAATATTTCCTATACCAACTCATGTATGTAGAACAGTATTAGATGGAAAGGGGCAGGGGAAAGCCATATATTTAGTTTATTATTTTATATTAAAAAATTGCAAAGAAGAGTGGCAATTTTGTATCAAGAGATACTGACCACCTTGCAGATATCCAGAAGGAATGAGTGAGATCTTCTACTCAAGAAACACATTTGCCTGCCAGATACTGCTCCAGTGTAGTTTCTGTAAGATCCTTCTATTTTGAAGTGCTCTTTAATGAGATTTCTTTTTCTTTAAGAAACTGAGTCCAAAAGGAGAACATTTTTTGAAGATTTATCGCCAAGGCTTGAGAGACACTAGAGGACATATTCAAATTTCACTTCGATGGAGTAAACTTCACTGTATTATTCTGATTTACAGAGAGAAATGAGCTCCAAATATGACCTAGAAAGAGAGAACTTTCAGCTTTCGTCCATGAAACATAATTTCCTCTATGGCGCTTCAGACTCAAAGGTATAACAGGGAGAAAGAATCTAACAAAAAAGGAAAATTTTAAAATAATGTTGACAGATTTGCCAGGACGAAGATCTAGCCTTTTGTTTCCACTTTTACCAGTCTCTTCGTAGAGATTTCTATTGCAAAGAAAAAAAAAAAAAGTACACATCTCATTTCCTCTAAGATCTCTCTCTGCATTCCTCCTTTTGTACAGTCCTGGCAACACTCCAGCATTCATTTCAAAAAACACTTTTATGTGGACAGAGTCAGGAATCAGAACTCATGAAAGGATTAATTAGATTAACATTTCTCACACAAAACTCACAGAACTACCCAATTTCATCACAGTCCATCTTCCAGGTTTGAAAAAGAACTAGGAGAAGCCTTCCTATTCTGCTAACCTGCCATGCAATCACCTGCAATAGTTCTGCTGCTCTGCTCAAAACAGAAAATTGTCCCAGCACAGAAATGTACTCTTCATAAGCCTCATTGTGTGGTCCTCATAAGCCACACTTACATGGGTACTGTTCAGCAAAGTCTCTGTATGTTTTTATTACAAGTGATAACTGCCAAACAACAGATGTCTCACAAACCAAAAACCCATCAGTGGTCTTTGTGCAGCCTTATTACTGGAACAGATGAAGCATCTTTGATTTTAGTGGAAACTGCGGTGATGAACCTTGCAAGGTTTGGACAGATAAAGTCTTTGGCCCTTTGAAAACATAAGTCTACATTTCTCACTGATCACATAGTGCAACTAGAGGGTAATCCAAAGGGGAAGTTGCTGAGGGTGCACTCAGTGACACGGGCAGTGGCACTGAGTGCA